TGGGTCTTTTCTTCGGAGGCATCTTGATCTATAATAGCCAGGAAAGAGAGGATCATAAGTCCTCTAAATTGAATCAAGATTTATGGAACAAAAATATTTATGACAGATATAAAGTTCTGGTAAGCGATAAAACAGGAAAGAGTTATCAAAGTAGATAAACTATCGCTAAAGAAGGAAGGAGTAGTAACACTCGGAATGCATTTCTACAATGTACTCGGCTCTGGCTAAAATACTCCCATAGTATTTTATGTTTCGCTGTAACGAAGAATCATTATTTGGATATCAGGTAAGTTTTAGGCATGTTGCACACCACAGTCACTCCCAAGCACATGTTGGCCGTGTCTCGAATGAATATAGTTGATTAGGCTATATTAACCCTAGACACGACTACATAACTGCCCAGGTTTAACCGCAGCATACAACACCCCTTTACTTATGTTTTTGTTCTACTCGTAGTTATGGTTCCCGACGGTTAGGTATACTTGTATACTTTTGAAAATACTTATATTTTAAAGTATACTTTTAGTTCAGAGCACTTCGGCCCCTTAATGTTTATAGTCTTATACCATTTAAGGTTTGGTATACTAGTTCACTATAAACAAGGGCTCTGATACCAATCTGTCACACCCCGAAACCGATGGCGAAAACGTTTCGGGGCGGAGGACGTCATGTAAGTATCACAACCAATGTACATAGTAAGCATAGTAAACACGAAACATTACATTACATATGAATAATTACATTTGTTAAAAAGTAAAGTGATACATGTTTTAACTGTACTATAGTTTGAGCATAAACACATGTCTTCTAAAACGCTCTGTCTTCTCCAAAAGATTACGAGTACCTGTCTAATGTGGACCTGAGAATACAAACTGTATGAAAATCAGCATAAAGCTGGTGAGTTCATAAGCGGTTTTTTTTTCTGAAAATGAACAAGTTCCCTTTGGTTTCTGAAAACATTTGTTACCCAAGAAAATCCCATAGTTTTATTATATGCAAAGTTTTGTTATACGATCCAGTTATGTACAGTTTGTTATCCCACGAAAAACCCTTATTTTCCTTAAAAGTTTGTAATCGGTTATCAGTTCTGAATGCAATGAACAAGTATCTACCATACTTTAAGTGTTTGTGTGAAGTTTCCTGAAAACCTGGTTATCCTTGAAAAGCACATTAGTTTTAACATGTATATAAAACTAATAAGTAAGTAGAAAAGTATTCATAATCTAAATTGCGAGTTCCATAAGCATACAATAGACTAGATAAGACTCGAAACAGGGGCCAGTATTGTTTTATGACTTTTGTCACCCTTGAACCTTTTGGTTCGACTGTAGCTAGCAGCCAGGTGCGGGGTTGTCAATCCCATATAGATCTATACAATCAAGTCACGCTCTCTCTCCAGGAGGTTCTGGTTATGTGGGTAGTCCTACACTCTCGTAACTAGGGGGAGTGTCACCAAGGACGTGTCTCCAATCTTAAGATTAATGAATTTTGAAAGTAGTCCTTTACTCTCGAATCTAGGGGGAGTATTTCCAAGGACTGTTCTAGGTTCTAAGTTTAATGTTATTGTTCCTCCACTCTCGTAACTAAGGGTAGTGTTAAAGTTCTAAGTTCAATGTTATTAGTCCTTCACTCTCGTAACTAGTCTAGGTTCTAAGTTTAATGTTATTGTTCCTCCACTTTCAGGGCGAAGACCACCACTCCAAATTCCAGTTCATGTGTGGCATAATTCACTTCGTGAGTTTTCAGTTGTCTGGATGCATAAGCAATTACCTTCCCGCGTTGCATAAGAACACAACCTAAACCCTGATTCGAAGCATCACAGTAAACTATGAGGTCTTTGGTTCCCTCCGGTAAGGATAGCACTGGAGAACTACAGAGGGCTTGATTCAAGGTTTGGAAAGTGATCTCTTACTTCTCCGTCCAGTTGTAAGGTACACCTTTCTGTGTCAATATAGTGAGGGGTTTGGCTATCTTAGAAAATTTCTGAATGAATCTTCGGTAATAGCCTGCTAGTCCCAAGAATTGAAGAATCTCTGTTGGCGTCGTTGGAATTGCCCAACCTTCAATGGCCTCGACTTTGGAGGGATCTACATGGATTCCTTCCTGGCAAACTACATGTCCCAAGAAATTCACACTACGGAGCCAAAACTCACACTTGGGAAGTTTCCCATATAACTTTTTAGCTCGAAGGGTCTCTAAGATATATCAGAGGTGTTGGCTATGATCTTCTTCACTTCGCGAGTACACGAGGATGTCATCGATGAAAACGATTACGAATTTATCAAGAAATGGGCGGCAGACTCGATTCATGAGGTCCATAAATGCAGCAGGGGCTTTCGTTAAACCGAAGGGCATCACGACAAATTCTTAATGACCGTCACGAGTTCGAAAAGTAGTCTTAGAAATGTCCTCATCTCGGACTTTGAGTTGATGATAACCGGATCTCAGATCTATCTTAGAAAAGTAACTAGCAACTCGGAGTTGATCTAATAGATTATCAATTCGTGGAAGTGGGTACCAGTTTTTGATAGTGAGCTTATTCGGTTCCCTATAGTCAATGTACATCCTGATGGATCCGTCTTTATTTTTAACAAAAAGAACTAGAGCTTCCCATGGAGAGAGGCTTGGTCTAATGAATCATTTATTCAAGAGTTCACTTAGTTGGCTTGACAATTCTTGCATTTCAGCAGGAGCCAACCTATAGGGTGATTTGGTGATTGGAGTGGCTCCAGGCAGTAGGTCGTTTGGAATTCGATTTGTCGTTCTGGGGTATTCCAGGAAGTTCCTCTGGAAACACATCCGGGAAGCCACATGCCACTGGAATGTTTTGAATGTTCGCTTCCTATTTGGTCTTATCCATCACTTGAGTAAGGAATGCGTAGTTCTTTTGTAAGCACTTTTATACCTTGATACTCAAGATAAGGCGAAGGTTTGCGCTAGTTTTATCTCCGTAGATTATTAGGGTTTCGTGGTTAGGAAGATGAAGGGGAACAGCCTTCTCATGACACATAATATCCGCATGATGCGGGCTTAACCAATCCATGCCAATGATCACATCAAAACTCCTAATATTTACAGGCATTAAGTTTATTTGGAAGGTGTGACTATTTAGAGTTAGTGTACACCCTACATAAATATCCTTAGTTGATTCAGTCTTCCTATTAGCCATTTCCACAGTGAAGGCTTCATTAAGCTTTTGGGGTTGTTCTTTTAGTAATTATTTGAACTTATTACTCACAAAACTTCGCTCCTCTCCGCTATCAAATAAGATGCATGCATACGAGTTGTTAAGTAGGAACCTTCCGGTGACAACGGTTAGGTCCTGCACTGCTTCACCGTGACCCATCATCAGAACTCTCCCTGATGTTCCTGTCCCTTGGTTGTTTGTGTTGGGGCAGTTTTGCTTCATATTCCCTGTTTTCCCACATCCGTAACATGTATATCTAGCTCCAGTGTTGGTGTTGTTGCTGTTTTTCATCTGGTTCCGTTGAAGCTGAGTCCTACAATACTTTGCGGTATGACCTTTCCGATTGCACCTTGTGCAACTCATCTCTCGGCACTCCCCGTGCTAGTGGAAGTTGCATTTATTACACTTGGGGAGATTTCCCGAGTACTGCTTGGAAGCATTTGGTGTGAATGAGGCTGGAGCATGTGGTGTGGTAGTAGCTTGGGTTGCAACATGGACAGACATCGTTTGTTGCTTCTTAGATGATTCTGAGTTTTGCTTTCCTTTTCGCTTGTTGTTTTCCCCTTCTTTTTCTCTTCCTCCTTCTTAGCCTCCGCTACCAATGTCTTGGCAACCTTTTTATTACCATGATCGTACAGTTTCTTGGCCAGTCTCTTAGCATTATCAAACATCTTAGGGTTTGCTATAATGACATTCCCTTAAATAGGATCACTCAGTCCCCAGATAAACCTTTCAATATTTTTCTCTTCTAAGGTGATCATTTCGGGACACAGAAGAGATAGCTCACTAAACCTAGATATGTATGCATCAATGTTGGAGTTTTGGACCGTGAGATTCCACAACTCTTGCTCCATCTTCTGAATCTCACATCTAGGGTAGTATTCTGCTCACATCATCTCCTTCAGGTCTTCCCAGGGCATCGCATTCGCCACTGGGAGTGTCATGGCCTCAATATGGCCATTCCACCAGGAGAGAGCTTGGTCCATGAACGTGCAGGCTGCAAACTTGACCTTACACTCATCCGGACATCCGCAAATTTCGAATACCGACTCTACATTCTCAATCCATATTTTCAGGGCTATGACGCCTCCTGTCCCATTAAAGTTTCGAGGTTTGGCGTTGTTGAAGTCCTTGTAGGAGCATGCTCGTGCGGCTTCATGATTTGTCCCTTGATTTGTACTTCCAGTTTTCTATCCGTTGCCTTCTCCCTTGTTTCCATTGCAAATCTGTGCAAGTGGTGCAGTGACCACATCGGACACTGCTGCCTGGAATGCAACCGACTTAATTTCTTGAGGTGACGGCTTAGGGTTTCCACGGGTGGGTCTTTGAGGCATCCTTCTGTTATGGAACAAAAAGATGTTGAGTGCCTATAGTTTTTACGGCTTTGTGATCCTATAGGCTAAGTGTATAGCATGTACTTAAGTAATTTCACACATTGACATAAAACATGGAAGTATAGCACATAGCAGATAACGACGTCATGATAAACCATAAATCATTTTTATTAATACTAATAGGTTTGATACATGAAAAGTTTCCAAAAATGCATATAGTACATATAAAATCCGGCAGCATGACGACCCTATGAGTAGTCTAATCACTTAAACATAGAGTTGATAGTACGTAGGGTGGTATGCGTTAGAAGGAACACAATGTTAGTAGGAGATATGGTTGGTTTCACATATTGTGACACCTATATAGCAAGAAATAGAGCAAGTCCCATCGGTAGTGCTGACGATGGCACTCAATCATCAAGTTGACGTATCAGAAGTTCAGCTAGTTCATTCTCCTCTTGGGTGATTACTTCTACCCTTTAGTCAGCTCGTACAACCCTCGCTTCGGTCTCAAAGAGTTGACGCTTGAGATTTTTTATTTCTTCCTCAAGAGAGCGTAAATGGTATGCATCACCCCTCTGAATCGTGCGTGGATGTGATGGGGCTTTTGCTAGGTGGGGTTCATTTCGCGCCTCCTTAACGTCCTTTCCTTCATCTGACTGCCAGTCAGACTTGTCGTATTTATAATCAGTTACCACATACTCTTCCGGTTCCATTTCGGGTCTCACCTGTTGACCCAGGGCAGGGCCTCCTTCGGGGTTTTCTTCAAGATCCTTTTGAAGCACTCCTTGAGTCACTAACGCTTGGTAGAAGTGTACCCCTTGCTGGTCATCATCCATGGTGACTGCATGGGGTGTGGGAACGAGTCATGTTTTGATTACTCTCATAGTATTTTTTTAATTATTAGTGTTTGGATTCCCTAGAGTTATTAGAGAGTGGGGTAGGTTTTTGGATTCATTTCCCACTATAGTTACTCCCGAACACATGTTGGTCATATTCTGAATAAATATAGTGAATCAGGCTATATTTATCCCTAATATGACTACATAACTGCCCAAGTTTAACCATAGTGTTCAATGTCCTCCAGAAGCTTTTATTAAGTATTGTTAGGTTATTATCCTAATATGTGCACACAAGTGTTAATTTTTTTTTTGTTTAGAGTTGTTTAGTCCCATTGTGTTTATAGTTGCATATCATATATGGTTAGATATGCTAGTTCATTATAAACATTGCTCTAATACCAACCTATCACACCCCTGAACCAGACGGCGGAATCGTTCGGGGGCTCATGTGACTAACAATTGAATAATCATCACAATGAATATACATGAAACATAACACTTTCGTCACCAACATTACATAATACAACCAACATTGTTTACATCAAGTACATTGTTAAATTACATAAGTTCAAATTGTTAAAAGTACGACATGTGATATTACATAAACAAACCAAACACACTTGCAATTCTTCCAGCTTAACGATTTCCTGATAATACAAGTTATTTTGAAAACATCAACATATATAATGTTGGTGAGTTCATAAGTGTGGTTGAATAAAAATCTTGTATCTTTCGTAAAAACCAAGAAAATCCGATATTTTATGTAAATTGTCTGAAAATGATGTGTAAATTGAGTATAAAAGCATGTGTGAAATTTATACTTATAACGTATATGAGTGTATTGTATCGTGAATAAGTGATAATTTTATACGACTAATTTTCCCAGAAAATCCGATATTTTCTGCCTTAATGTCTAGGTTTTTGACTCGTTGATTAAGTGTTATTAGTGTTGGCAAAGTTATAGAATTAATCTTCTATGTGTTTAAGTGGTGTTGAATCCCTACATGAGCCGTTATAACCATACATGATAATGACTAAGTCGCCCGTCTTCGCATTTTCCAAACGCCGGTATTGCTAAAGATTTTGTCACCCTAGATTGGCCGAGTCTAACTGTGGCGAATAGCTCAGGTGTGGGGAGTCAGCCCGTATAGATCTATACACAAATTCTCGCTTTCCCTCCAGGAAACTCTGGTTATAACTACAGGCGACAATTGTACACTCAAAGTTGCCAACCGACAAGTCTCACTAGATTCTCAACCATTCCCATTCGATGTGTTTTTCTTTCCCATGTTTAATGTTTTACGTGTAGGTTATAGTATCCAAATTCATAAACTATGTAGAGGTATGTTTACTATCTACAAAGTATGTGAATTTTCATTCCAAGTCTAATTAACATGTAAATGGGCCAAAAAGGTCCAATAACATAATAAAAGGGTAATTTAGGCCCAATAGACATGAAAATGGGCCACAAAGGCCCAATAAACATGTAACCATAAATTAGGCCCAAATTAACATGTAGGTGGGTCGTAAGACCCACTAAACATGTTATGGAAAACATTTGGCTCAATATACACTTAGTTGGGCCCTTAGGGCCCAACAGCCAGGTATCATGAACATTAAGCCCAATAATTGATTATTAACGTATTCCGTTTGTTAGTTTTGTTTCGTTGTTCGTTTAGCTCAAAGTTTACCAAATTGACGTTAAGAAGCTTTCTGTTTGTAAAAAAACGATATTTTTGTCCAATGATCCTTCAATTTTTAGTTAAGTCCCAAAGTTTTGTAAAGATGACACTTTAGTCCATAACTTATAAAAAGTTGCAGTTTTGTCCCAAATGTCTAAAAACTTATGGTTTTAGCCCAAAAAGTTATATTTTCACATTTAGGAACCTGTTTTGCAGAAAAGTACATTTTTAGCCCTTTGTTTGTAAAAGTTCACATTTTCGGCCCAACTTTGGAATGTTTTTCATTTTTGGTGCATTTTGAAAATAAATGTTATTTTCACCTCCAAATTTGGTTTATTTACATTTATGGCTCCAAATATGGCCAAATAACATTTTTAAATGTTAAAACTTCATGGTTTTCGCAAATAGGGCCATAAGCCCATGAGGCCCAAAAGTTTGGCCCAATAAGCTTAGATTTGCATTTTTGACCTATCACACCCCGCTAAAGCGAAAACACGAGGCGTGGAAGTATAAAGGGTTTCATAGCAAAAGTTAAAAGACAACACCAACCATAGTATTAAAAATCATTACAATTTTACAATGGGTTTGAACAACTTTTAAAAGAAATTACAATGTAAATTGAAATACAACACATGTGAATGCTCTTAAAAGTGAAGTGTCCCTATGTTCCACTTACTTGATGATTCCTGAAAAAGTATGTAAAATGAGCATCAACTATAAAAATAGTTGGTGAGTTCACAAGTTACAAATAATATTGGTTTTATGAATCGAAATAAAAATTTTGATATAAGTTTCCATAGATAATAATATATTGCTAAAATGAGTAAATAAGTTTGTATAAATAAAATTTTGTTGGTATAATGAGATACAAAGTTTATTGCTATAATAAGTAACGAGTTTGTATGTGTATGAGCAAACAATGAGTTCCCAACCAAGCCTATAACTGATTCCCTATCAAGATCTATGCTTATCATTCCATAGATTATATGGTATCATGCACTCCAGCAATCAGGCGAGTGAGGAGTTGTTAATTCCTAATAGCACTATCAATAATGACCATTGGCTCAAAGAATTAATGGTTGGAGAAAAGTGTAAGGGAAAGGACTTAAGATGATAAGTTCTCATGTTTCGTGTTGCATAGACATACATAGAGAGATATAGCAATAAAATAGCAATTAAGTTTGATACAAATCAATTTAAATACAATGAACAAATAATAGTTTTTCGGACATGCTTTTCCACCCCAAAACGTAAAAACCGAAAATAAGGGAGTGCATGAATACTCACAATGCATTGAGATGATGCAAATGGTGACTTGACTATGCTCCACTCGTACCACTATTAATTCCTACAATAATGGTATTCGCTAGTGAGTCTCTAATCGAAATCTAACACTATTTTACTAATACAATTGAATTATGCCAATAATGTGTCAAAATTTAATATTGATAAGTTACAAACATTTTTCTGAAATGGTGAAATTTTATAACTCATGTGATTAACATAATTTTGGATATCCTTTTCCATATTTTTGTAATATTAATTAATGGTATTTCAATACATTTAAAGGTGTTTTAAACTCCTAAAAATCTAAAATATTATCAAAATGTTTCCAAAAATTGTCAAACTTTGGATTTTCATTCTAAATACAGTAGAGTTCTTCCACAAATTTTTTCCTGAATTTTTGATGTGATTAACTATTTTTCCAAATTTTTAAGCCTTCATAACAATATAAATTCATGAAAAATAGCATTCAAAGGATAAAAATTCCCAAATATTTTATAATACTATCATTAGACATACTTGAGTTAGGAAAAGTATAAGAATGGATTTCTAAACTGTTTAACCCAATTTTATGATTTTTGTGCATTTATTCTAATAAAAATTGAAATAAATAGAAAACAGTTTCCAAAATTACCCAAACCTTTTGTATTACTGTTATCAAACATTATTAAGCTGGAAAAAAAATATAAGAATGGATTTCTAAATTGTTTAACCCAATTTATGATTTTTGTGCATTTATTCTAATAAAAATAGAAATAAATAGAAAACAGTTTCCAAAACTACCCAAACTTTTTGTATTACTGTTATTAAACATTATTAAGCTGGAAAAAATACAATAATGTATTTTTAAACTGTTTAATCCAATTTTATGATTTTTGTGCATTTATTCTAATAAAAATTGAAATAAATAGACAATTGTTTCCAAAACTACCCAAACTTTTTATATTACTGTTACTAAACATTATTAAGCTAGGAAAAATATAATAATGAATTTGTAAATAGTTTAACCCAATTTTAGGATTTTTGTGCATTTATTCTAATAAAAAGTGGGTTTAAGTGTATTTCATCATGGCAAAATAGAAAAAAAAAATAGTATACAGAAGTTAAAAATCATCAAAAAATTTATGTAGCCTCCTAATGTACTAGAAGGCGTTATGGTAAATGGTCATAAATTTTGGATGAGTAAAACTTTTTTTCTTGTTTTTAGTCCATTATAAATACAAAAATCGGGGAAAAATAGGAATGCATTATGAAAAATTCTGAAATTATTTTTCTGAGTCTTACTCCTGTACTAGAACTTGCGAAAATTATTAGGTATTCATTTCACCTTTTCTAAAGTGGTTTTATGATTTATTAGAGCTAAACAAAAAGAAAATTCAAAACCATATTAAACAGTAACATAAATCGATGAAACTTAATGAGGGGTCATTATTCAGCATAGGGGTCATCAAAGAATTTACTGAGGATTTATAGACCTCATAAAGTATTTTATATGATTTATTACCCTATTTTCTTGCATTAATTAAAATAATTCGAGATAAATGAATTATTTTCTGGAAATTTACGGATCATCTTAGTTTGTTGATAGGAATCTGGGAAAATCAGATTTGGTCAGAAAAGGAGTTTTAGATATTTATTTGGAAATAAATTCTTCATGAACATATTTGAAAGCTTTTAACAACATACTTTAATGATCTAGCATTTAAGCTTGAAGATCATCACATGCATGTTTGTTTGAAGACCATTCATGAGTTTGAAATGTTCCAAATTTGTTTTTGAAAGAAAACTTTGGATGCATGTGGTGTTTTTCCACGAAACGTGTAGAAAAGTGCATTTCTATGGTCTTTACTTAGGTTTAGGTCATGGATCTTCACCATTTTGTAACATGCAAGATGTTTTTGGTGAAAATCTACCACCATCATCATCAAAACTGAAGTGAATGAATATTCACACAAATTTGGTGTAGAAGAAGGAGGAAATGCAAGAAAAACCTTGAAACTTGAAGGAAAATGAAAGGAAATCGTGTTCTACCTTAATGAACACCACTAGATTATGAATGTTTTGAGCATCATGAGTGTTCTTGGACTTGTTTTCTGGAAATTTCCATGGTTCCTAGAGAGAGGAAGTGAGAATAGAGTGAAAATAAAGTGAAGGAGTGTGGGCGAGAAAGTGAAGTATGGAGAAATGGATTGTGGAGGGGAATTGATTGAGCGTTTTGGGAAGAGGAGAGAGAGGAGAAAGAGAGAGAGAGAGAGAGAGAGAGAGAGAGAGAGAGAGAGAGAGAGAGAAAGAGGAGTCCGACTTTTCAATGGAGAGAGGGTCTCCCTCCTTTAAATTTTATAAAATATAACTTTCTTTTATAAAAATATCAAGTTTTTATAAAATATGCACCTTATGCTATTTTTCATTCACAAAACCTTGATTTTTCGCTTGGAAAGTAAGGTTAAATACTAATGACTTAAATTTTATTTCTCCTTGGTTAGATTTTACTAAATTGAGTTATTTAAAATTGATATTATATAGTTCATACCAAATTTTATGGATTTTTTTAGGTGTTAAAGTTTATAAATTTGAGTTTTTAGGGGTTTTAGGGTCTTTAGATTTAATAAATATTTGGATATCAAAATAAATTGAATTATTTGAGATTTCAAATTATAATAGAGTTTCAAACTCTTTTCTTGTTAAAAAAAATAATGTTTGTAATTCATTTTTAAATGTTTATTGGCATTCTATGTAGTGATTCCGAGATTCAATCGAGATTGAGGAATCAAGTATACTAGTCCTAGTCTTCAACTTTGACTTAAGTTTCTATGAGACTTTGACCTAATATATACTACTAGGTCAAGTGCATGATGTGTATATATGATTCATGAAAAGGTATTCGAGTCAAGGAATGACCCGAATTTGGATAGTCACTCCAGTTAAGTAGTTGAAGAATTCACATACCAATGTGAAATCCAAGCACATTATCCATTGTTTCTAATTGTTTCCAAGTTTCTAATAGCTTATATCTTAACTTCTAGTTAGTAAGTCTAATATGTGTTGTGCCTATATGTGCAACTAAGTTTATTCAAATCTAGACCTAACTCAAATTTTGACGGTTGTCGCATGACCCTTGTAAAAGTATGCTTAGCATAAAAATATCTTTTTATACATATAGGGCCTGTTTGGCCCTTATAAAATATAAATGTCATTTTTTACCCTTATTTTTTGTTTTCTTGAAATTTTTTACCCTTAACTAAGTTTTTGTTGAAACTTTTGTATCTCAAACATGTAATAATTTTTTGGTTTGGTAATGTGATGTTTATAATGTAATAGTTCATAGATCATTGCTAGAAAATACCACTACAAAAAAAAAAAAAAAACTTTTACGACACGCAAAACACGGCACTCATTGATTTATGTTACGCAAAAGAGAGTGACATTAAAAAAGTGTCATCTATTCAAAAATTTAAAGGTTTAGGTCATGCATTATTGCGTGCCCTTAAATTAGTGTTGTAAGAAAAAAAAACACTGAGGGCGCTTTATGTTAAATGCACGTCCTCTGTAAGTGTCTCTTTATAATTTTAATGAAACGTGTGTCTCTTCTTGTTAACCTGGGAAAACAAAATCCCCAAAATTTTGAAAACCCGCCTTCTTCTTTTCTACATTCTTTCTATCTTTCATCTTCGCAATCACGACCATTCAACCTAAGAAGGATGAGCATTGGACTCTTGATTTCCCTAACTCTTTCTCATTTTCTGATTCAAACTTGAAAGAATCGAAAAAAATATATGAATTTTGAAGCCTAGAGAATCACAACAACCAACTTCATTACATCTTCATCTTATTTACATTACCACTTCGAATCTCCTACCCTAATTTTCCCTCAGCAACAATTCTAGCAGCTTCGTAGACATGGCTCAAAAACCTAGATGGGGCGAATTGGAGGAAGAAGATGATGGTGGTGACTATGACTATTTGTTGCTACCGAAAAAGGTTATTGGACCCGACGAACACGGGTTGAAGAAGATTATTGAGTAGAAATTCAACGACGAAGGTAATTGGGTTAAGATTACCACCACCACATACGTCTGTAAACTCGCTAATGCTCGGCTGAGCAAGCGCGCCGTGGAGAGGCGTTCTTGGCCTAAGTTCGGTGATTCTGTTCAAGAGGACGTCGGCGCCAGACTCACCATGGTTTCTACCGAGGAAATCATCTTTGAGCGACCAAGGGCTCCAGGTACGTCATCCCTAGATCTGAAATTTCATATAATTGTAACAATCCTTTATAATTATTTATGTGAAATTATTAAGACATATGTAGTTGAAGAAGTTTATTACTTTATTTACATCTAGCCCTAATTCTCTACAACAAGTTTATTGCCTAGATCAACAGTTTCAGTTGAAATTCATTATGCACATATCAATCATCATGACAATACTCAATTGCTACCGATTTAAAAACTTAGGAATCTATCTCAATGTCATTGCTGCTTGTTAGATATGCAAATTGTGAATGCAAAGTTTTATCTTTTAGGTACAAAAGCTGAAGACTCAAATGCATCTAGAGTCCCATTAGCTCAAATGTCGAAAGGAGGAGCTGTATTGATGGTATGCAGGACATGTGGCTCATGTTCATCGACTCCAAAAATTGTTTTTATAATTGTTGTGAAGCTTTCTCCTATGCAAAGGGTACTCTACAAAAAAAATCCTTGATGTTCATGGACTCACAGAAGAGAAGGCTTCTCAAGAAAACACCAGGAAGAGTTTTTTTGCGAGTTATCAGGCATTGGCTCAGGTATTCTTTTTAACTTAATGGACTTAAAAGGAACATGACTTAACAATATGCATCTCTAGTTTTTTTGTCTTTTGTTGATTAAAGGTGTGTTTGTTATTGTTTGACCCAAATTGAAGCAGAGTTCTTCACAGAGTATGGAGAGGCAAGTAGGTACCAAGTTCAAGAAGTTATTGGGAAATGAAGTTATGGTGTTGTGGGATCCGCTATTGATACTCACACAGGAGAAAAGGTTGCAATCAAGATATATTCATGCAGGTTGGTTCATTTTATCTTGACAAGATATATGTTCTTGTGGTATTGTGACGGATACCTACAAATACTTGTATGAATGTGCAAATATATGTATCAGATATGCATACTTTTGTGTTTGATTGTTTGTCATGTATGCAGCAAATGTGTTTCATTGAGATTTAAAACCCAAAAGCATTCTTGCTAATTCTAAATGTAAACTGAAGATCTATGATTTAGAACCCTAAAATAGTCACAAATAAGAAGATTACAGATTTTTTTCCTGGTTTCACGCCCACTGTGAAAACAGGTTGCACTACTGGGGCACAAGTGGTGAATCCCATGGTGTTCAATAACAGTAACCAACACCCTTCCATGTGGTATGCTCTTTTATTCCTATAAATTATTATTTATCAAAAAAAAATCTTTTTGACTTTACTTTATAACAAAAATGTTTTTCTTTCACATTAATATTGTCATAGATTAAGGTAAATGATGCAATCTTAGAATACTAACTTCCTTGTATACTATCAGGATGCATTTAAAGATCTGAGAAGGGACTGCTTCCACTCGTTCCTCACACGCTTTCTCAAATAATCATTTGTTCTCTCTCAAGAACCCTAACCATCACTAATACCACCATATTTGTGGCGTGTTCTGTTCAGATGTATAGGCATTGATGAAACCTTATTAGAGAGGTTGCTGGATTTTCTCCTTATGAGAACAGAATTACTGAGCTTCTCAATATTAGAAAGGACAAACGTGCCCTCAAAATGGCAAAGAGGAAATTAAGAACTTGAAAGAGAGCAAATAAGAAGCGTGACGAGATGTGTAGTGTTCTTCACAAGATGAGGTAACTACAAATTTTTTTCCTTATAAGGATCTTCAAGATCTACATAATGCTTGTTGATTTAATGGCTCAATTACCATCGTTTTTTCCTGCGCTTTTTGATGCATTCAGTAACCAAAGTGCTGATGTTCGCAAGGTCAGCACCCTAAATATAAATACTTTTCACAAATTTTATTTATATTTATAAATATATCTTTTGTGTTATCATCGTAACAAAAAAGGGAGGATGGAATCAAATTCCTTCCACCCTCCCTTAGGAAAGGTCAAACACACACACACACACACACAATCGAGAGTATGTATGTGCAGTGTGTTCTCCTTGTTCATTCATTTGTATATTTGTAAGTTTGGGCTGGCATCATTTTAGTTTTTTTTTAGCTGTGTGAGTGTTTGGAGTGTTGGTATTATTATATTGTTTGTGTTCTTTTCAATTTGTTTTGTGTCCATAACAGTAATAATATAATGAAATTATGTCATCAATGTATGTATGGGTGTTTTTTTGTTATTCAAATTTGAAATCACATTATTTTAAAGGTTTTCTTTCTAGTTAAAACAAACATATTAACATAATCATGTATACAGTTTCGGTTTGGTTTGGGACATAGTTAGTTGGTTCTAAACATGTTTGTATACGGTTTTCTGAAAATGGTATACAGGGGAACAATCTGAAGGTTGATCTTCATTCCTTAAGTGGCAAGCCACAGTTTGGCTGCACTTGCATCCGTCTCCCCAAAGCTGCCTCTTAGTTATCCAGCCTGGTAACACTTTGAACTTTCTTCATATTTATGATGTTGAAGTGTTAAATAGGCAGTGGTTTTTAAATTTTTATTTATTTTTGTGTTTATATTGCCCAGAACAATGCTTGATGTAGATAGAAAAATGCTAACAGAAGCTAGTCGGAACCATGTGTTTGCTACATTTGAAAAGGAAGTCGGATGGTTACTTCTCTCATCCTTCTTTCATTATAGGCTTATGTATTTAGTGATCCTGGCCAAGAGCATCAAGCAGATTAATGTGAGGATGTGTCTTCTAAAATAAGGTTAGCCCACTTTTCATGAGTTATGCCCTTTTTGTTGGTAAAATTACCCATCTGCCCTTTTAGATCAGCTTGGAACACGTGTCCACCGCTTGCATCAGGTATGTTTTTGACCCTTTTCTAGTTTCTTAAGGTATGTTTTTGACCCTTTTCTAGTTTCTATGATGTTATGTACATAGATTTATGCTGGAAAAAAAATCTTTGATCAGGTTCTTCGAATAATGGGTGCTTTGGATCCTCATGTTGATAAGCGCAATCAACAAAGCTTACAAGGACCTATTGGTGATGCGGGCCCACATATCCAGTCTAGTGATGAGTAGCCAATGGATCTTTGTCCATCATTTGCAACATCAGAAGATTATTTCTCCACTGTAAGTTTTTTACCAAAAAATAAAAATAAAACGAAGTCGTTCCTTTACTCCTTTAGTCTAATTCTGTAATTCACATTTATTACTAATGCAGGTTGCTATCAATTCTTTAGTTCGGATACATAGAGACCTTTCTCTTTCTAGTTATCATCAAAAAGTCGTTGGATCTCTCATATTTATTTTCAAGGGTCGTTGACTTGAAGAATACATAATATACATACATATATATATATATATATATATATATATATATATATATATATATATTATATACTTGTAGATTGTAGATTCTTTTTTCCTCTTCATTAATTTTTCTAATCTCTTTTTTTAGTCAATGGGTCTTGGCTGTGTGCATTACTTGCCAAAAGGTTTACCAGACTTCTTTCACACTATTCGTATGTGTTAAGATAATCTCAAGGAGTTCATAACTTGGAAGCTTGGAACTCTTGTTTCAATTGTGTGCCAGGTAGGATTGTATTTGTATGATTACAAAAACTATTTCCTTAAACATCATGTCATCATTACCAATCTAGCTAAACAACTGTGTCTGGCCCTGAATAATGAATTTTGGAGATATCTTCCTATAATTCTTCCATGTTGTATTAAGTTCTGAGTGATGCTGAAAGGTGTAATGATTACACTTATGCCCGTGATATTCTCCGCACCGTGGAAGTTTTTTGTGGTGAGTGTGATTGTGATTATGGAAATTATAATAATTAGTCTCCAAACATGTCTTACTATTTTGTTAATTATTATATAAATTTGGTCTACAAGAACATTAGATGAACATATGCATCTACTTCTTCCTACCCTCATCCAATTATTTAAAGTGGATGCTTCTATTGACATAAGGTGTGCTGCTATAAAAACCTTGATAAGATTAATCCCTCGTGTTCAGGTTAATGATTTTTTTTGGGTTTGTAATAAAGGTGTAGACCTTTAATTGTTACCAGTATAACAGCACACAAAAGTCAATCTGACAGCCTACTATGGAGGTTATTATGATCCTTTGAGTGATATGGAGAATGATCCTTATGAAGATGCTCACAAACAACCCAAAGTTCACCAGGTATTAAAAAATATAGTGTGTGTGTGTATATATATATATATATATATATATGTATGTATGTATATATTCCACTTATACTTTCTTATTAAACACAAAGTTTTATAATTGAATCATGGTTTTACTTTTCCTAACATGTCAATGATGCTAGATTGCATGGATGATACATTTCAACATTGAATTACTTATGGAGTCACCTTCTTTAGCTCTAAGAACATGTTCCAGGCTGGTACAGTACAAGTGTCATTCATAAAATTTGCTATCTTTTAGAAATTCGATTGTAACCCTAGTTTATTTTTGCAGCCATTTGTTGCACGAGAGCTGTTTGCAACATGATTTGTTAGCTGTTGGTCACAACTCCATGAGTCTAGTAAAAAAGCCCCCGTTCACATTTTAGAGATGGAATTTTCTTCCCCTAGTTTTTGTTTTTCCTTTTTTAGCCTTTTAGAACATAAAACACCATGTAGACTTACCTGTTTCAATATCCATTTCAGGCTCCTATGTACCCTCTTCTTGTTGCCTGTAAGTCAATAAGCAATTTGACGAAGGCTGCAGCTCAGGAAGTAGATGGCAAAGTGAGGCAGTACAATGGTTTGTTGGTTGATCAGGTGAAATAATAACTTATTTCATGCATATTTTTTTAATGCCATTAAATTTAAATTGTAGGGATAAATTCACATCACAACAATCTAATGGTCTGGTTGGTTTTCTTTTCTGATTTGAACAGCCAGACACTCTCCTGCAAATTCAAAAGGAAGATGGCACAGACAAGGAGTATCCATTGGTAGCTGCCATTGAGTCCACCAAAAATACTTTGATTCAAGATAGTATAAAACTCTTATTGGTAGATCATTTTGATTGCACTCTTATACATACCATGTATTTTTATTAATTAGTTGATATTGATATTATACAACTGCCATGATTATTGTGTAGGATTTACATGTTGTTTTGGATCAAGAGTTGGGAATGATATTAAAGCTAAGAGACATGATGATTGGTTGGATACATGAAGGGTTTCAAAGCTTCTTTAGACAACTTAATGATGAGTTAATGAAACAAGAAGGTTCCCCTTTATAGCATTGTAGTATTAGGTTACATAGTTAGGGAAAACCTCTTAATAACAATGTACAATTAGATCCCTTTAATATCAATGTATTAAAATATTTTAACATGATGTTATCGGATGAAATTGATTGTTTTGGTAAATAATTTTTTCTATATTTTTGTAGATGCGTAAAAGAGTGTCGCAACTGTGCGTCGTACATGCATGTTGTAAATGGTTGCTTAAATTTATGACACGCAAATGTGTGTCATTTTCATTTATGACAAGGGCTATAATGATACGCAATGTGTGTCCTAAACGTGCATCGTAAGGTTACGACACACAAATGCATGTCGTCTTCCTTTATGACATGGTCTTCCTTAATACGCATTGTGTGTCGAAAATGAGCGTCTTAAATGCGTGTCGTAACTGTGCGTCATAAATGTGCGTCGTCTATAGACGACGCGCAAAAGCGTGTCGTCTCTCGTTATGACAGGGCCTTTCTTGACACACATTTGCGTGTCATCTGAGCGTTTTACGACACACATTGCGCGTCATAAAAGGCTATTTTTCTAGTAGTGTACTTAAATTTCGAGATTCGCTAAGATCTAACCCATTATTACCAAATAAACCAAGTATTCACACAAAACATGCATCTAACACCTAGATCTACACTTCTTACTTGTATTCTCCCACAAAAACAAGTAAAACCTGAAAATAGGGGGTATGAATTCACCTTTGCTTTGATGTTTCGGTTTTGAAGAAGAAATGGAGAAGATTTTGGTCCTAGCAAGCTTTGTTGAGTGGATTTCGAACTTATGGAGTTCTAGGAAGCATAATCACCAAAAACTTGCTTAAAAGAGTGATCCAATCATGAGAATAGAGTTATGAACTTAGATGTATAAAGACTTACCAAGAAGTGATGATTTCCTTGTGAAAACCTCCTTGAATCACAAGTAAATTTTGAGATTTTAGAAGAAGGTGTAGGATGATCTTTGAGAGTGTTTGAGAGAGTTTAGCGTAGTGTGTGTGAGTGTGTTTGTTTGTCATCGGTCGAGATTAGAAGAGGAGAGGGGAGAGAGATAGTGAAAGTACTAGCATGGATACATGATGGTTTAAAGCCTAGATGCATGTTGGATCTTATGGAGGTGGCACTCCAAAGTCAACTCCATTTCCTTTCTTTTTTTTTTTCCTTTTTTTTTACTCATGGGCCGATGTTAGGCTAAAGGAATAGGTAGCATAGTTTGGGTCCAATTCTAGCCTTGGTTCGAAACTATAAGGCCCAATCATTATTTTCGGCCCAATGGGCTCCTTAGATGGGTTAGGGACCAAATAGATTAAAAGAGAGGGGCTTATGGTTCACTAAGGTTAATTGGATTGGTTATGTCCCAATAAGGCCCATTAGGGTTAGAATGAATCATTCTAGACCTAAGTGGTTCAAAATGTTTTAGATTTATGAATTGGGTCCAATTAGGATCTGATTAGGGCTTCTAAGTCCAATGAGGTTGAATTGGGTACTAATTGGTCCATTATGCCCAATAAGGAACTCCTGGTCCACCATGGACTTAAACCATGGATCTTAGGGTTTTTAGATTCTTTGATGAATATAACTGATGAATCTAAATGAGCCTTGAGTGATTATTTACAATATTTAATGGTTACATAAGAATAGAATTTCCTAGCTAAAATGCTAGTTCTGACACCTTTTGAAGGTCAGCTTCATCTCTTCCAGTTTCAGACATCTCAAGCTGAGATGGAGTTGATGCAGTCATAACCATTTATATTTGATAATTACGATATTCTTTTTGATCATTCACCCCCTTTTTGGAAGCATTAGGTTGGGGAGGTGAACCAGAAGGTTGGTGGGGTTTCATCAACAATCATATCATCAACACCACCACCACTCAGTTCCATAAATTACTTCATCTCAGTGACATCCTTTTTAACTTTAGATAACCTTCTTCCCAAAGACTGAGTTATCTCAACCAATAGAGAAAGTTAGATAGCATAGCAGTTTCAAAGTTAGAACTAGATTTCCCTTGATAAACATTAGCATTCTGAACATGTGTTAGTAAAGGAGGAATAGTCCCAGCTTGAGGAGAATGAGATGTTGGTCTTGGAGAATTTACATCTTATATCAATGGCTCAACAATGTCCACTTGAGTTCAGGTTGATCCACTATAACATCCTAAAATTCAAGACCGAAAATTTGCATTTTTAATTAAGTAATTATAAAACCGTTAGTATAAAAAATCCATAGTGTCATCCATATCAAAACCAAAATGTAAAAAATCAAACATGTCATAATAAAACATCATCAGAGCATAACTCCCAAAGATCTCATGTGCGGAAATCATGGTGTGACGCGTTGCAATCATGTCGGCTCCTTTCCTTTTGAAGAAGAACTACCTGAAACCAAAACTAAAAACAGTAAGCACAAAGCTTAGTGAGTTCCCCCATCATACCATATAATCACATACTGCTAGGCATATATGGGTGCCTGACCTACCCTATCAAGCATATTTGGGTGTTTGACCTACACTATCAGGCATATCTGGGTGCCCAACCTACTCTCCGATATATTTCAACAGGTTACGGTGTCTATTTCACCCCTTTCACTACCATATAATAACATATTATAAATATACTGTCAGACATATTTGGGCACCTGACCTACCCTCTAGTGTATTCCAACCAGTTACGGGATCTATTTTGCCCCGACCATTACCACATAATAACATAGAAATAAACACATAAATCATAAGTGATAGTGGCATACCAAGAAATTATCACAAAGAAAATCATATCTATAATAACAACTACTAGTGGGCCAACATTGGTGCCTTCGACCCACTCATACAGGAAGGTAACTCACCTTGAATACCGGAAAGTAGCTAAAAATCCTAGGCTCCAAAAATTAACCCAACTCAAGCTCCTATACACAAAAGGTTTCCTTAATTACCCTCTCATACTCATAACCCCTTAAAGGTCAACTTGATCCAATTCAAAGTCAAAGTCAACGCTCCGAGTTGACTCAATTCGTCGAGTTCACTCCTCAACTCGCCGAGTTCCCATGAATCACAGAATCATGAAATCGCAATCTAACTCGTCGAGTTTTCCTCCAACTCACCGTGTTCCTCCTTCTTAACATAATCGAGAATTTTCAGTACAACTCGCTGAGTCTCCTCATAAACTCATCGAGTTCCTTCAATCTTCAGAAAACTGAGAAAACCCTAGCAACCTTGTCGAGCTTTCTCAGAATCAGAAAGGTCGGGGGACCACAATCAAACTTTCCAAGTTGGATACGCATATCATCGTGTATTCCTAGTATTAGCACATACAGTCACTTTCAAGCGAGTCTAATTTCTCCAAACCATAGATCTGGTCCCCTAGGGCTAAGATACCTCGTAAAGTTTCTAACTTTACGTCCATGCATGGTATAAATAGGCTAAAAGCACTAAAACTAAGCTTTATAAGAGACCTAGGGCATGGAGTAGGGTCAAGAATTGATAAAGCTGACAACATTAAGTCTCAAAAGGCCAATAAATTTCTAGACCTGAATTCATAACTTCAGGACATGCTCAAATCCAAGAATGACTCCAAAATAAGCTACTAAAGGCCATAAACTTCTCAATAAAGAAATCTATCAAATAAATGCTCAAGGTATCGACTTTATACCTTAATATGGCTGCCACAACAGGGAAATTCCCAGATCCAAAGCTTCTCCCTTCAACTAAGCAACACCAAACTTCAAACTCCTTTAAGAAAGCACCAAAGAAAACACTATTTACACTCAAACACACTCAAAATGATAGAAAGCATGATATACGGTTTTACTGGACGGAGGGGACGATGAGGGAGGCCACAATGAAACATTAAGGCCTTTAAATATGGTACAAAAACCTAAAAATTAGGTTTCATTTCTGCCAACCTACTCGTCGATTTGAGGCCTCTCAACTCGTCGAGTAGGTTTCTTAACCTACGTCCCAAATTATTCCTACTCGACGAGTCTTGGGTTCCCAACTCATTGAGTTCCTCTATGAAAGTGAATAAATTGTAATTTTAAATACATACCAGAAGCCAGGCGTTACAAATCTCCCCCACTTATCTCAGACTTCGTCCTTGAAGTCTATTGCGGCTGGAAATAGCTCTGGGTAGTGCTCCCTCATCTCATTCTTCGGTTCCCACGTCCATTCCGAGCCCTTACGGTGCTTCCACTGCACCTTCACCAACTATACCCTCTTGTTCCTTACATCCTTCGTCTTCCTGTCGAGAATGGCTACTGATCTCTCAATGTAGTTTAGGTTATTACCCACCTGAATATCCTCTAAATGCACAACTGCGAAGTCATCCACTAAGCACTTCCGAAACTGGGAGACATGAAAAGAGTTGTAGATCTGACTAAGCTCTGCTGGTAGATCTAGTCGCTACGGAACCCAGCCCACCCTAGCCAAGACCTTGAACAGACCAATGTATCTATTTCCCAACTTACCTCGATTCATGAATCAAATGATACCTTTCCAAGGCGACACCTTTAGGGGGACCATATCCCCTTCCTGAAACTCTAGGTCTAATCAGAACTTGTCGGCATAGCTTGTCTGCCGACTATGAGTAGTCTGGAGCCTGCTCCGGACCTGTTGGATCTTCTCTGTGCTCTTGAGTACCACCTCAATACTCCTAATGACTCTCTGACCAACCTCACCCCAACATATTGGGGTCATGCACTTCCTCCCGTAGAGAATATCGAAAGGAGGTCGGCCTATGCTAGCATGATAGTTGTTATTTTATGAAAATTCCACTAATGGAAGATATGTATCCCAACCCCTCCAAAATCTAATACACACACACATCATGTCCTCTAGAGTCTGCATCGTCCTCTCACTCTGCCTATCCGTATGAGGGTGAAAAGCAGTAATGAAGTGAAGACGAGTACCCATCTCGTCATGAAACCGCTTCAAAAACCTAGAAGTGAATCAAACATCTCGGTTTGACACAATCGACACCGAAACTCCACGACGTGCCACCAACTCACGTA